GGAAGGGGGGCAGGACACATATGTAATACCTTAATCAATAAAAAAATTTAATTTAATCTAAAATTTCCCCCCCTACAAGTACATAAATGAGAATTGGCTTGAGACCTGGAGATGAATTTGACTTGTGGCCTTAAACACTAGAGAATTAATGACAACCCCTCTAGTATTCTCTCATGATTAAAGAGCCACAACAAAAACCCTAAACCAAACATTAGGAGAGGATATCTTTCTTTTCCCCAAACATGGGTAATGTGAAAATACAAAATATTTCCATCCAGCACAAACATGAGAGGAAAACAAAACAAAACAAAAAGGAAATGAAGAGGCAACTGGTTACAGGTATATCTCAAACTAAAACATAAATAAAAGGGTCAAGACACACACACACACAACACACACACACACAGAGACACACACACATGAATAAAGTATTCAGGAAAACATTAGCTCCCAGTTTCTTTTATTAAGATAACAATATGAAACTGGTTCAGGGACAATTTTTGAGCACTCAGACTGGAATTCTAAGGACTAGATTTGCTACATAATGGTCATCTATGGGAATTTGTCATAATGAAATAAAAGCAAATGTAAGAAGAATTATCTTCTCTCCCAAAAGTTCCAAGCATAACAAGTTGCGTTTTTAGACATGTTTGTTTTATATTACACAGATCAATTTTATATTGACTATGGCCTGAAATTAAAGTGATAGCTAATTTAGTAGTCAAGCACTTGGTCTTGCCACGCTCTGCATGCATTGTCAAGTTTCACACTGCTAATTTTCCAATGAACAGTTTTGTTTTTAAATGCCCCAAGGCCAATTACTGAGCCCAAACATAAACTTTGTAAGTAAAGAAACTCCAAGCAGCAAGAAAGTTTAAACACACATCATCGGATTCTAATGTTCACTGTAGCTCCTCTAGTTTTAGAATCTATTCTCTTATATACTTACCAGTTTTTGTAATACTGTTTTCATTTTGATGAGTCACAGTGTTCAGAATACCCAATTTATTAATCATAGAAGATTGCTCATATCCACTCTGGTCAGTCTAGCAGGATATGTTTATCTTACATGTTATTAACAATATAACTATTTCTTAAAAAAGAGTCCTTTTCAAAATACTTCTAAACATATGTTTTGTTAGAATACAATATATGTTTGATAATTATGTTTATATAGATTATCATCAAACTTGATAAATACTGATTTGAAAGTGAAAATACCTTAAGTTTACACATGCCATGAACAATTCATCAATGTCATTCATTGTATTGCAAAGTATTATCTTCTCCAAATGAAGCGTAATTTATAAACTGAAGAAATATAACAGTCGTGTTATTGGCAAATATATTTATTCACTTTTATTAGAAGGGGGACTTTAACAGTTGTGTGAAATAATTTTGTCTGGAAGAATAAAAGATTTCAGGGAAGCATTTCTTTGGGGAAAAGAAAGTTTACTTTTGTTTTAGAAGTTATAATATGTATGCATACAGAACTAACAGAGAGATGAGTGGCCTAATTAGGGTCATTGTAAATGCCTATTGTAAAAGTAACTAAAAAGAAATCATACCTTACTTGGGAAGAGATCAACTTTTTTGTTATTTGGTTTTAGGTGGTAAATTAGGCACAAATATCAGCTCTCCTTGTCAATGAAGATTTTGTTAGTCAGTGGTAAACTTCAAAATGAAAGGTGATAGAAGCATCTCTTTACATTGGAAAACATGTAATACAATGAAATCTGAAAGATAATTCCTTTTCCTTCTTTTGTATTAAATTTTAAATAATTTATGATGAGATTTATAGATTTCTTTCTGGGAGATGTTATAATGATCCACCTTTTAGAGCAAGTACATCATAGCCTAAATGTATATTAGCTATCTACCAAGATATCTCTTTGCCATCTCATTAAAGTGAAATTAAGTTAGGTAAATCCCACACTATGCTACATTTTAAAAAAACTGTTAAATGAGCCTTTTTTAGTTAACTTAATAAATCAAATCAAATGTAACTGAAAGTATTTAGGTCAGGAATACAAGAGTATGTATTGTCACTTTTAAATGAGAAGGTAATTTAGAGCTACTTTAAAGTTTATTAATTAAATGTGAGTCACCAATCTTCATTCTGAGAAGCTGTTAGATTTAAATATATTAGAAACCTGCTCCTTCAACTCTGTTTAAGACTATTAAAATAAAACAGACAAAAAAATCATAGCTATACCCTAAATAACTTTATATGTATCACTGGTTGCTATGACAGTTTATATGAAAACCATCACATATAATATGGTAAGTGCCCATAATCAGAGAAAACCACATAAAACATTAATCCCCAAAAGATGAGCACATAGTCCTTTCTAACAAATACTGTACATGGTATACTCAAATGTACTCCTGAATTCTGAACCTTTGTTTTTAACTAGTATACAAACCTACAGATAAAATACAGAAATTTTTTTTCAGATTTACTTATAAGGCTAAAACATGTAAATTGTATAGTTACCCTCTCTATATGCATTGACCCTGAGATATTTCCTCTTTTCTAGCTCAAATAAAAGCAACATAAGTTATTTTACACTACAATCTAAAGTTTATAAAGAATAACACGGGAAATTATACTTGACTGGATTCTATCCTGCCCAAAATAATACAGTGAGTCAAATATTTGTTTAAAAAACTTCTCATTGTTCCACTGAGTGCATTTCTATATCACCTGATGGAAAGGCTTTTTGAGAGATTATAATATATTGCAAGCTAATTGTAAGCAAACAGTATACTTTATCATCAAATTTAAAGCTGTAAAAGTCATAATTTTTTCCAGTATTTCATAATTGGATTTACTTCTAATTATCATCTATTTGATAAAGTACTTAACTGTAATAGGGGAATTTGGTTTTTCAGTAGTCTTGTAAATAAGCACAAAGTAAATTAATCTTTATTATTTTTAAAGAAAATTACAAAATCTATAGCTTTGATTTGTATTTAACTCTTTCACAACTGGCCCAAATCTTAAACTTGTCACTCACCACTCCCCCTCCTCACCCTCCCAACCCCCAGTTTAAGTTTCCTATTATTTGGTGACTGTTTACAAACAACCCTGAAGCCTCTACATGAACTTTGTATGCTAAGCATTTGCTTAGAAATCTCATTCATATCAAGGGTTGGAAATGAGTCATGGGTTAACCAGTTAAGACAAACCCTTAAGCGTGGGTCTAGGGTGGGAAAATCACAGGGAGGTTCCTGTGGGAGTTGAGGAAGTTGGGAAGACTTGACTTGAGAAATCTCACCTTCTGAGCTGCTTTGGAGGGACTCTTGTTTTTGCTGCCTTTGGGTCTTCCCCTGGGTCTCTTAGGAGAGGGCTCACCAGTTGGCTCCTAATTGTGGAGAGAAAAAAACAAACACGTTGTTGTGGCAAGGATGTCTGCAGGAAACTGACCCTGACTCTGTAGTTACATTTTCTGCATGTGCTGCTCCACTGAACTGTTGGAACACATTCAGTTCAAGCATAAGTAGGAATGGTGGCTCAGAGTTTTCAGAAAGGGGCAATAACGACCCTTTTCATCCAAGGGCTCAAAGAGGAAATGGTTATTTTACATATGAAAACTAGATTCTATTCCAACCCTACCAAGGTGACAAAGGATGACAAGTTCGCATGTTCTAGAAAGAAAGTCATACATTAAGGTGAAAAAGTTGCATGGTTATGCATTTGGCAACTCAGCCATAAGCATTTTACACAAATACTACTAGCCATTGCACTAGCATTTCAAACAGAAATACGAAGCTAACATCATAAATATTTCAGCAATCTTCCCTACTGAAAGATGGTTTTTAATCATCTCTATATATCTGCATTGTAGTCAACACATTGAGTGAAATATTGGAGCAATTATCCAAGTTCTTCAACTCAAAACAACTCCATTCCCCTTAAAATTCCCAAATAATTATGTTAAATCTGTTGTGGGAGGTTTTGCTTGAATTATCTAGATAATTGCTTCAATTCTCCACTTCCTTTTGGAGATTCAGGCATGGTCTCTAGTCTAAATTTAAATATCTTTTGATAAAAAGGAACAAACTCCCCAAAACTTTCTTTTGAGAAAACTGCTAGGGGGGTGAACTGGAGAAAAATAAAGGTGCGGGGTGGGGGTGGGGGGATAAGGAGGAATGGAAGTGTCTGGGAAGGAGAAATTGAAACTATCAATAGGTTTAGCAAAACTTTAAATGGCTTCTATGCCAAGTGGTAAATACTCAAGTGGTTAAGAGAATGTGATGATTAATATTCCAGTTCCTAAATATTTATCCAGTGAATCATCAAATTACATTTCATTCAGATTCGGTGATTAAATGAGACTAATTAACTTAAAACTCATGAAAGTCTCCAATGAAAATTCGCATCCTACCGAGAGAACCTGGGGAAGGTTACTCAAAGCTTCCGTGGGACCACTAGCGCCAGTGGGCACATCCGGAGCAAACACATCGGAGACACATTTTCCTTTCTTTGTGAACTCAGCCTCAACTCAAAGGTAAAACCTCCAGTCACCTCCAGACCCCACTGCAATTTCTTTTCCATTATTTTTTGGGGGCGGGAGGCAATTAGAAGAGCTAGAGAGAGCT